AATGCTCAGCCCCCTTGCTTCAGTGGGACAGCTCTCAAGGGCCATCCTGGCTCCAGGGCCCCTGGCAGGACCCACTGAAGGCCTGTGTTCAGCCAAGAGCAACTCAATCACAGTCACCTCCGCCTCCACCCAATCATATTCTTCTCACCCCTCAAAAGAAAATATTCCTCAGTATGTCCCAGCATGCAAATCTCAGAGGCTCAGACTCTGTTTCCCAGACCTACAAAAGAAGACACATTTTGGCAAGAACTGGCAAAAGAGTGGAGAAGAGAAAGACTGAGAGAGCGAGAGAGAAAATATATAAATAAATCTAATACAGACCAAAAAGGGGACATAACTACAGGGAAAATGAGATTTGAAATAGTGTAAGAACACCATACACTAATGAATGTGGGGACCCAGATTAGAAAGGGTCTATTGCTAGAAAACTTGGCTGTTTACTCTGCTGATAGTTTGTCTTGCTTTACAGAAGCTCCCTACTATAATCAAGTCCTACATGTCTATTTTCAATTTGTTACAACTGCTTTTGAAGAGACACTTGGGGTGCAGTAGGGGAGCTGTGCCTGCCCAGGATGGGGAAGGTTCACTTGGGGTGCAGTAGAGGAGAAAGATATACAAATACCAAAACAAATACCAAAATACCAGGGAAAAAAGACAAATAGAGACTAAACTTTAAAGAAACGGAAGTAGTGGCCAAAGATCTCTGCTACTAAAAGACCTCCAGTCTCTGACAATTTCCCTTGTTAGCTCTCCCAATCATTCAAGAAACCATTAATTCCTAAATTATCTTACCTTAACCTAAAATGCTCACAAAACATTAAAAGAGCAAAATAAATCTGACACACTCACTTTAAGAGGTGAATGTAATCTTAATTCTAAAACCAGAAAATGACAACACAAATAACACACACACACACACATCTGTATTTGCAAACTCATTTTACTTGTTCTTCATTTACTAAATCATTTATTTAGCAAAAATTCTAAGTAAAATATTAGCCAACTAAATCTAACTGTACGTATTTTTAATACAATGTGAAGAAAAGAAAAATCTGTGGATGTAATTCACAACATTCATAGACTAACAGTACCTACAATCACCTGACTAGTTCAATCAACAATAAAAAATTATTTGACAAGTTTCAGTGTACATTTTATAATTTAAAAGGTCTCTGGAATAGAAATCAGTTTCTTAAACTTCATAGAGCTTATATACTAAAATCTTACAGCAAACGTCAAGGGAGAGACGCTAGAAACACTTTAAAATCAGGATAAGACAAGGATGTCCATGATCACCACTTCTGTTCATTCTAATAAGGAAGGGAAAAGCAGCCAGAGATGTAGGAACTGGGAAGGAAGTGACAAACCTGTCATTTTCTGTACCTTCTAAGAAATACAAACAGAATCCAGGGACAAAACTCTTTTTTTTTTTTTTTTTTTGAGACGAAGTTTCCCTCTTGTTACCCAGGCTAGAGTGCAATGGCGCGATCTCGGCTCACCGCAACCTCCACCTCCTGGGTTCAGGCAATTCTCCTGTCTCAGCCTCCCCAGTAGCTGGGATTACAGGCGCGCGCCACCGTGCCCAGCTAATTTTTTGTATTTTTAGTAGAGACGGGGTTTCACCATGTTGACCAGGACGGTCTCGATCTCTTGACCTCGTGATCCACCCGCCTCGGCTTCCCAAAGTGCTGGGATTACAGGCTTGAGCCACTGCGCCCAGCCGGGACAAAGCTCTTAAACCAGTGAGTGGGTTCAGAAAAAGCACCAAAATCGAGCTCATCCAGGCTGGACTCCGTGGGTCATGTCTGTAATCCCAGAACTGGAGAAGCCGAGGCTGGAGAATTACTTGAGCCCAGCATCTGTGGTCCTAGCTACACAGGAGACTGAGGTAGGAGGATCACCTGAGCCTGGGAGGTCGAGGCTGCACTGAGCCATGATCACACCATTGCACTCCAGCCTGGGCATCAGAGTGAGCCCCTGTCTCAACAACAACAACAACAACAACAACAAAAATGAAATGGGTTTACTCTGCAAACATGCAATAGCATCACAACTAGGACACGCTGTCGAAAATAAGATGCCGCTAAAAAAGAGCTAAAACACTAAGTATCAAGATATTAATATAGTCAAGAATTGATTTATGGGATGTCGGTGGAGAAAAACATTAAAACACTGTACAGGACACGTTCACTCATGCAACAAAAATGATGGCACTCCTGCTCGGTGCCATGCACTACACTGGAGTCTAAAGACAGAGCCAAATATCAAAACAGTCTCTGCTCTCTGAAGTTTAAATGCTAGTGGGAGAGAGAAAATAAAAACGCAAATATAATATATTCTACAGGGTAATATGAGAATGTAAGTTTCATGGGTGCAATAAATGGGCGTAGGGATGCTGGAAGGGGGGTCCCAGATTGAAGGGGGTTGCCAAAGTAGGCCTCATAGAGAGGGTGATAATTGAGCAAAGACTTGAATGAAGAAACAGAGTGAGGCATGGGGATATGTCGGGGAAGAGTGTTCTAGGCAGAGGAAGCAGCCAGTGCAAAGGTCTGGGGTGGAAATGTGCCTGGCATATTCAAGAACCAATGAAAAGGCCAGCGTGGGTGTAGCAGGGCGAATTATCAGGAGATACAGGAGACGATGTGCAGAGAAATGAGGAGCTGCTGGGCAAAGGAATGATGCATTCCGACTGACGTTCTCAAAAATCATTCCCGGCCGGGCACGGCGGCTCACACCGGTAATCCCAGCACTAAATGAGGAGCTGCTGGGCAGAGGAATGATGCATTCCGACTGACATTCTCAAAAATCGTTCCCGGCCGGGCGCGGCGGCTCACAGCTGTAATGCCAGCACTAAATGAGGAGCTGCTGGGCAGAGGAATGATGTATTCTGACTGACGTTCTCAAAAACCATTCCCGGCCGGGCGCGGCGGCTCACACCTGTAATCCCAGCACTAAATGAGGAGCTGCTGGGCAGAGGAATGATGCATTCCAACTGACATTCTCAAAAATCATTCCCGGCCGGGTGAGGTGCCTCATACCTGTAATCCCAGCACCTTGGGAGGCCAAGGCAGGTGGATCACTTGAGGTCAGGAGTTTGAGACCAGTCTGGCCAACATAGTGAACCCCTATCTCTACTAAAACTACAAAAATGGGCGAGGCATGGTAGCGTGACCCTGTAATCCCACATACTCGGGAGGCTGAGACACAAGAATCACTTGAATCCGGAAGACAGAGGTGGCAGTGAGCCAAATGTATGCCACTGTGCTCTAGCCTGGGAAACTTAACATTCCGGATAGATGGAAGATTGGAAAGCAATGAGTAGACACTGAAAATATCTAGGACGAGAAAAGAGGCTTGGACCACAGAAGCAGCAGGGAAGACGGGAAGATTCTGGAAGTATTGTGGAGGGCGACTCAACAGCATTTCCTGATTGATTTGCTATAAGGCATGAGAAAAAGAGAGGCGTCCAGGAGGACTCTCAGTTTTTTGGGGCTGAGCAGCTAGAATGGTAGAGCTGCCACTGAAGTGGAGACCGCAGGTTCCCTCCTGGACATGGCAGCCATCCCAGCAAAGAGGATGGGCCGCCAGCTGGACCAAGGCATCTGGAGTCCAGGTGGTAAGTGAAGGGAGATACAAATGTGTGAGTCGTGAGCTCACTGCAACCTCCACCTCCCGACTCCACAGCCATGAGCTTGGAAGAGGGAACAGGTGCAGACAGAAGAAAAGAGGTCCCAGGACCCAGGCAGGAGAGGAGAAATCAGCAAAAAAAAAAGATAGAAAGCAGCTGGAGAGGCAGGAGGGAAACCTGGAGGGGAGAACACAAAAGCCAGGAACAAGCAGAGGAAGGAGAGTGAGTTGCGACATGCACTGCCGTTGGCTTCAGGAAGCTGAAGGCTGAGGTTTCATCACTGCAGCTCAGTAAAGGGGAACTTATCAATGACAATGCCAAGAGCAGTTTGGGGACGGGGTGAGAAAAGTCATTTCAAATTAGAATATCACCTTTGCAACATCTCCATAAATCTAAGATTATTCTAAAACAAAAAAATTTCTTTCCTGAAATAGAACAAGAGGAGAGGAACTAGGGACCGGAAGTATGGACAGTTCTATCAGAGGTTTGCTGTAAATGGGACAGAGAAATGGGCAATAGCTAATAACAGAATAATTGTTTTTAAGGTGGAAGAAATAAAAGCATGTTTCTACACATAGGAGCCAGGAAAGAGATAGAAATGATGATGTAGGTGAGGGAGGGGAGGCTCACACAGCAGCACACCTTTCAATACATTCTAGACCCTTGTTAATTGGTGCAAAGATGTCAGGAATCCAAGAAAGATGCCACTTAGATGGATAAACAACAGAATAAAGATGTCATTCTCCCTACATTAAGCTATAAATGCAATCCAGTTGCCATGAAATTACAGGTGGGTGTTTTGAGAAACTCAGCAGACTTATTTTAATTTTAACATGGAAGAAGAAAGGTCTATGAAGAGCTAGGTTGGGCCAGGCATGGTGGCTCATGCCTGTAATCCCAGCACTTTGGGAGGCCAAGCCTGGTGGATGACTTAAGCTCAGGAGTTTGAGACCAGGCTGGCCAACATGGTGAAACCCCACCTCAACTAAAAATACAAAAATTAGCCTGATGGGGTGGTGTGTGCCTGTAATCCCAGCTCCTCAGGAGGCTGAGACAGAGAATCACTTGAACCCAGGAGGCAGAGGTTGCAGTGAGCCGAGATCATGCCACTGCACTCCAGCCTGGGCAACAGAGCCAGATCCTATCTCCAAAAAAAAAAAAAAGAGCTAGGTCAACTTTGAAAAAGCCAAGTGAGATTGGGTGCAGTGACTCACACCTATAATCCCAGCACTTTGGGAGGCTAAGCCCAGGAGTTCAAGACCAGCCTGGACAAAATGGTGACACCCCAACTCCAATATATACAAAAATTAGCCAGGCGGTAAGAAACACAGGGTCGTAGCTCCTTTGGACTTGACCCTGGACAACCAGGGTCATGGCCAGGATGCTGGCCCGGACCATCCACACAGGCACCCAGCCGCTGCAAGATGCTGCAGGAGAGCAGGAAGCTGAAGAGAAGGCAGCAGCTCCCAGATACACCAATAAACATCATGCATCGCAGTGCTGTCCGCCTCCACTCGCCACGTGGTTCAAGCTTTCCGTGGTTCAGTTTGCTTTCATTCCATCAGGAGTGCTTTAAGTCCCAGTACAAAAGCACCCACCCTCCTGTTCCTCCCTCTGCCATCACATTTTGCCCTTTGAAAGCCACCCAAGCCCCCAAACAATGGCACCGCTCCCCAGGTACATGCAGGAAGAGATGTGAATCATGAACAGTTGGAAAAATATCTGGTCTCTAATATGGAAAAAATAGGATGTTTCACAGTATCAACAGTGCTTGCTGGTTCTAAAAAGGAGTCCCAGCATCTACCCTCCCATTCCAGGAGAGGAGAGCTCTCTGAGGTGGGCAGGAAAGAAGCGTGAGGAGATCCCAGTCGCACACATTAAAGCATCCTACAACAACACACAGATCCAGGTAGTCTCTGCCCGTTACCAGCCCCTTGCCCGCGCTTCCTGTGGCACAGAGGGATTTCGGAATGCCAAGAAGGGCACCAGCATTGCAGCACAGACAGCAGGCATAGCTGCAGCGGCGACAGCTCGACGAAAGGGTATGACCCACATCCAAGTTGTGGTGAAAGGCCTGGGGCCAGGACACTTGTCTGCCATCAGCGGACTGACCAAGTGGGGGGCCTGGAAGTGATCTCAGTCACCGACAACACACCCATCCTGCACAACGGCTGCCGTCCCAGGAAGGCTCGGAGGCTGTGGCGGGAGGGAAGCCTGCACTTGGACCTGGCCTCAAGCCTCAGCTCCAGTGGGACCTTGTAGAAAGCTCCCTGTCAGAGTTCTCTCTAGAATATGCTTGTTGGAGATCCTTCAGACAGTAAGGGTGAGCTTTGCCTCCTTACACAGCAGCCTTTGCTTGTACCTCCACCTGGATAGGTATGCCCCAGAAGTGAGCTTTGCATCTCTTGGCAAGAGGGGAGCTATGGGGGCAGCCATGGCCTAGGCCCAACCTCTGCTCTGAGAAAATAAAATATCTGTACCATCAAAAAATAAATAAAATAAAATTAGCCAGACATGGTAGCATAGGCCTGGGGTCCCAGTTACTTGGGAGGCTGAGGTGAGAAAGATCCCTTGAGCTTCAGAGATCAAGGCTGCAGTGAGCTGTGATTGCACCACTGTGCTCCAGCCTTGGGGACAGAGCAAGGCCCTGTCTCAAAAGAAAAACAACAAGAAAAAAAAGCAAAGTAAAATATGTTTGTTCTGCTAGGCATAAAGGCACACCTCAGAATTACGGTAATGAAAAGACAGCACACGAACTGCACAAAGTGGAAACCACATCAAGGAGATAAAATCGAGAGGACAGAGTGAAACCTGTGTCTGAGAGGGATTTAACACAGGGTAAACGGGAACAAAACTCAATCAGGAGAAAAGGACATGGGTTAGTACATAGTACTGGAGAGACCAGTAGTGTATCAATCAAAATATGGCTGAATCCACCTAACGCGCAAATCGTCATGCGCTCCAGATGAATGCAATGCCTACCTGAGGAAGGTGAAGCGGCGAGGATAACAGAAAGGGAGGTAAGAGAATATCTCTGTGATTGACAGATAGGGTAGGACTTCTTCAAACTCAATTTACAGAAATATTAGTAAATTCGATGGTATGAAAATGAAGGAGTTTAGTTATAAAAGGTCACCCCATGGACAAAAATAAATCCATGACCCACAAATCTACAAGATAAAAAACAAAAGTGTAGAACCAAAAACCCCTGCAAAGCAACAAGGAAATTCCAGCAACCCCATAGTAAAATGAATAGAAGTGGTTTACTGAAATGCGGCCAGATGAAAGGCGGCCTACACGGGGGGAAATACTGGCCATCATTAATAGTCAGAGAAATGCAAATTAATATGGAAAATCACTTTACACCTATTAGCCTGGCACAAATTCAGCAGCTGATGCCAAGCGCTGGCAGGAATGGAGGGACACTGGAACTGTGCCCACTGGTGGGAGGGGAGGCCAGGCACAGTGGGGCCCGGCTCACCAATTAGGCCTCAGTGCCCCAGGGCCTGGCATTTCTGATTCCAGGCCTAGAAATGTCCACACGGCCCCTTGTGGAGACACGTTTGAGAATATTTGTCACAACTTCATTTGTAGGACAGAGAGCTGGAAGCAACCTGCGTCCACCGCTGGAAGAAAGGATGGGTGAAATGATTTCCTCTGGGGGAACCGAGAAGTGGTTGGCCATGAATAGAAGCACTGGCTTAAAGGAAATAAGAGACAGAGAGATTTAGAACAATAATTTCATGCCTGTTTTTTAAATTACTACAAAGCAATGATATCTTATGTGTAGGAACACATAACAAAATGGTATCTATTAAACCCAAGCGGAGAAGGGAGGAGAAGCCCGCCTGGGCTTGGCCCTGACACCACACTCCACTCATCAAGCTCCTCCAGCTGCAGGCCATGGTGGAATCCATCTCAACAGGGCTAAGCGGGGAGCAGACATCGAGTGTACCTAAACCCTCAGAATAGAATCTGGTCTGACAGCCACCCTGGAAGCGTTGGGTAATTGTTGCTGCTGTTATATAAGGAAATTAAAGGACAGAACAAGTGAGAGTCCTTGCATGAAGCCACACTGAAAATGTGCCAAGAAGCGAGGAGTGTGAATAGCTTGGCCCTCTGAACCTGATGTCCAAGTGGGAATGAGAGAGAGATGGAGAGGGAGGGAGGAAGGAGGGAAAAAAGAGAAGAAAGGAGGGAGGAGAGAGAGGGAAGGAGAAAGGGAGCAGAGAAAGAGGGAGAGAGAAGAAGGGAAGAGAAAAAGGAGGGAGGGAAAGGGGAAGGGAAAGAGGGAGAGGGAAGTGAAGAGGGAGGAGGAGGTCTCATAGGTAAATGGGGGTGAAGAGGATTTACTGGAAGAGGATTACAGGCTGAAATGAACCAGTGCTGCTGGATGCCAACTGGTGAGGACAGATGCCACTCTGAAGGGCTCCTGCAGCTCCAGGAACTAATACTTCAGTCTTGATTGCTGCTCTCCAGGAAGAGTCACATGGGTCACATCCCCTGGCAACAGGCAATTGTGATTATTCACCAGACAGTAGCCCGGCAGTTGTCTCTTATTAGAATTGCTCAGGCCGATCTGTCTCGGGGTGTGGCAGTGTCTACAGCCATACCTAAAACAGCCACAAAGTACGCTATTTTCCACAACATCCTCTTATCCTTTGCCAAAGCCGGCAAATGCCGGAAGTTCTTCAGTGGAAGCTTGGTGGGTATTGCTAGAAGCTGTGCCCATGTGCAGTCATGGCAGGTGGTGCTGAGCCACAGGCTGCTTGTCTTGCAAGAGTGGCACCACCTACAGAAGAGAATGTTCCACAATCTGACAACCAAATGATGAAGAGCCAGAGGTGGTATCTTTCCAGGTTCCTCCCCAAGGTTCTCCCAGCATCTGTACCTTGTTTTCTGCCCTAGGAAGCTTGCTTTCTTGGGGGCTGTGTTGACCACACTCATATCCCTAGGGATCAAGAAGCTCCCTTGCTCTATGATTTCAAAATTAACTCAACAAAGGGGAGCCCCGGCAGGGGACTGCAAGGAGGAAGGACAGTAAAATCTCGGCTTTATTCCCTTGACCATCTCCTGCAGCGTGAGAGAGGCACCTTCCCTAGAGAGTCTCTTCTTCCGAATCCCTTTGCTCACTTCCTCCCTCCCATCCCTTTGGTCCTAGGGATGGTAACAGCTGTTCCATCACCCTCCCTCTCCCTGTTACCACACAACCCTGGTGGTTTCCCCACACCTTTGTACCTGGTGGCTTTATTAAGCCTTCCTTAGGTTTCCCTAGTTTGAGTGTGCTTTTCCTGCCTGCTGGGACACTGATTCTGGTGCCCTGTCATTCTGATAAGATCCGACTATGTCTGCTTCTCTTCCTGGGCCCTGATACAGGCTTATTTCATGCCATCTTTTTTAAAAGTCACTTATGTCCCCAGTCATGTTCATTCTATATGCTGTGCTGAAGTCTGTTCTCAGTTCTTAAGATTTTCCAAGTCATCCTTTATTAAGTATTCACTACATTCCAAGTACTGCACCAAACACTCCAAATACATTTTCTGATTTAATTCACCCAACACCAATAATAGATGACATTGCCACCATCATTTTATACATGAAGACTTTGAGACTTTTGGCTAAGATCTCACAGCCAGCTAAGGATCTGCCTATCTTTGGGAAGCTACCAAGAATCTTTGATCAAGATCTTCATTGATTTCGCATCGCCATTTTGTGGGACGTTTTGTTGGAGGTAAGTTTTCTCTCAGAGTGGCTCAAGCAGCTAATAGCAGTATTTCTAATTTCAGTCTCAGTGACGGGGACTCTGCACTGGCTGCTGGCCGCTCTCAGATTGTCAGAGTATTGAAAATGAGCCAACCTCTACTTAAAGTTTGGATCTCTTTTGCCTTAGTCAAGAGGAGCAGGAAAAGAGAGAAGGAGAAAGAGTAAACTGTGTAGGGATTGAGTAACGTCTCCCCAAAATTCAAGTCCACCTGGAATCAGAGCGTGACCTTATTGGGGAGACGAGGTCACTGCAGGTATAATTAAGTTAAAGATCTTGAGATGAGATGACCTAGTTTTAGGGTGGGCCTTAAATCCAGTGGCTGGTGTCCTTGAAGAGGAAATGAGAAGACACAGAGACCAGAGGAGAAGGCCTTATGGGAACGGAGGTGCAGACTCGAGGGAAGCTGCCGTAAGCTGAGGAGCAAATGGGGTCACCAGCAGCTGGAAGAAGCCAGGAGGGATCCTCCCTAGGACCCTCAGTGGGATTGTAGCTCTGCCAATACCTCAGTGGCAGATTTCTGCCCTCCAGAATGGTGAGAGGATACATTTTGATGTTTTAAGTCACCAAGTTTATGATAATTTGTTACTTAGAAAACTAATACAGTTGGATTAAACAACCTGGAGACATGAACCTTATTTGAACCATCAGAGAAACACTTTTGTCACCTAAAGCAAACAATCAATCAAAAAGAATAAAATAAGGTGAAGAAAACGTTGGCCATTATCTAAGAAATGCATATAATGGGTTAAGCAGTTACTTCTAAAGACTGGGAAAAGATGAGAGGAGAAAGGATGTTTTTTGTGCCATTTAGTGTTGTTTTTTTTTTTTTTTACCATGAACACATATTAACATTTATAATTTATTTAAAAGATGATGTTGACATTAAAGGGGTTTGGGGTGGGAAGGCCTTACCTGATAGGTCAAGGGGCATTTGATGCAAACATTCCTTAAGTCCCTGTTTATTGATTTCCCAATATAGTCCATGCCCACAGTTTGGGGTCTTCATCCCTTCAACAAAGCTAGTAACCTTGTTTGGCTTGTCATTACATGCGTCTACAGCTAATCAGTGTTTTTAGAGTGTGCTGTGATTTGCCCGTGCCCTGTAGCTTTTGTTGCTGTATGACTGAGAGAGAGAGAGTCAGAGACACAAAGAAGGACAGAAAAAGAGAGGCAGAGACAGAGTGAACTGGCAAATGCCTCTCTAGCCCCAGTCAGCTTTGTAGAGGTGCCACGGTCCTAACACTGGGACCTCTGAAGTCATCAGGAATCTAATAACAACACTGGTTGTTTTCCTCAAGTATGTTGCCCAGGGTCAGTCATCAATTGATGTAGCCCTTAGGATGGGGGACACAATGCCTACAGCCCAGAAT